TTTTAGGGAAATTAGTCTGTTGTCTTCTTCGTCGTTTTCACCAGTAGTAACATCTGGCTGCTGATCACGTGACTCGTGATGGGATAAAAGTGTTTCAATTGCAGTTTTGCAGAATAAATCTATTTCAATATGACTGAAAATCCACCTCACCATGATGTAAAAACTGGATTTTTTTTTTAGTTTTTTAGAAATTGTGTTTATATTAAGCAAATTTATTTTCGTACTTTCAATTTGTGCAATTTTATGGCTAACAGAAATGCAGATGGTGAAAGAAAGTCTGTTTTGCAAGCATTTAGCATAAACCAGCTGAAGTTTTGTTTTCACTTACTTTCCACCACTTCTACGACCAGAGTCCTGCTGACCATGTAGCCATTTTTAAATGTGATGGAGCAATTGTAGGTCCCTCTGTCTTCTACCTTCGCCAGATTTTTGTACAGTGAAAAACTTCCATCAGCTGTGAAGTTTTTATAGCTCAGTTCTCTGGCTGGATCCTCCTGTTTCAGCTGTCCATTCTTTGGTGAGAAGGAGAAGATAGTCTGTTGACTGGAAGATGTTTTCGGGGTGACGAGCCACTCAACTGTCTCAACCTCAGACGGTATTTTTTGCACAAACTCTTTGGGAGTAATCCGAAAAGGAAGGCTAAGAGGGAGGTTTGTAGATGTGTAAACATATTTGGATGCAGAGGAGAAGTCTGAAACAGAGAAAAACCGTAAAAAGATGTAAACTTTTTTCCAACATGCAGAGTAATCTGTACTCACAATCAATCACTCACCAACAACAGAAACAGGAAATTTGAATCTGCTCTCTTTTCCATTATCTTTCACAACACACTCCCACTCTCCATTGTCTTGGCTTTCAGCGGTCTTTGTGACTGATCCACGGACAGAAGTCGCTTTGCGGCCCGTTGGTTTTAACCAATAAATGGAGTGTTGTCTCCGAGTCTCAGCATCGCAGTTCAGAGACAGAGAATGTCCAGGGATCACTGGTAGTTGTTCCTTTATACTCACTAACATAAAAAACAGAATGCATAGATACGGAAATGTGAATTTAAAATCTTAAAAAGAAAACTTTCAATGAGGAATATTTCAGCTTCATTTTAGTGATTTTGAAAGTTTTCTTGTAAGTGAAAAATTTAAAAAGCTAAAAAAAAACTGATCAGATAAACCACAAGTTTTAGGTCAATACTTTAACCCTGAGCAAGACATTCAAAACGTTGTTAATATATATTTTGCCATGTTAAAGTTAAATGTGTTGTGGCTAAAATACAAAACATTAATAATTTTTTCTTACCCGTGACTTTGATCAGGTGAAATTTGAATGTGTCATATCGTGTAGAACCATCTTTCACTATGCAGATGATGGTTCCAAAGTTTTCCTCTTGCATGTCATTGATGGTCAGACTATTGGGAGAGATGGTCAACCTTCTGGTCCAGATTTCACCAGAATCTGATGCAAAATTGATTGAATACAAAATAATGTCAAAAGTAACACAAATTAAAACAATTATTAATATTGCTTTTATTGGTAAACTCCAAAAAATAGTAGGTTTCCATTCCCAATGCTTTGCTTACCCGGATTAACTTGTTTTCTACCTAAATAGGAAGTGTCGGCAAGCTCAAGCCCATCCTCTTTTTCAAAGAACCAGCGCACGTAATAATTTATGGGGAGATATGAAGAATCCAGTTTAACATCGTCTCCAACACGAAGATAAATCACTTTCTCAGCCCCTAAAAGTGAAATAATAGTAAGAGTTGATATGCAAAACCAAAACCCCTTCTTCTAAAAAATCTGTACTTGGTGTTTCTTACCGTTTGTTTCGAGGGCAACGATGAGACAGACGAAGAACTGAAGCAGGTTCTTCATTTTGGGGCCTGAAAAACACAGTAGGAGAAAAGATACAGAAAATTTTAGTGAATGAATTGCTAATTATTTTTGAAGAGAATTAATGCACAGATTAAGACAGCAAAGGATTTTCTCATTTCAAGTGTAAAGTCATGATATACAGTCATATTTGATAAGTAAGAATATGCTTTCTGATGCAAATACTTTTCATTAAACTCACATTTCTGTTTTATAAATTGTATTTTTACAGGTCTGATGTAATATTCTAATTTTAAATATCAAGTTTTCATGAACTATAAGTGGGAAATCATCATAACACAAAAGTAAAGGCTGGAAATTGTGTAAAGATTAATCTATATAATGTGTTTCTCTTTATGGTAAAGATTCTGAAATAAATTAACTTAATAATATTCTAATTTATTAAAAGGGTCTGTATATTAGAAATAGACAAGGATAAGGATAGAAGTATGCACACAAAAATTTCTACATTGACATGAACTAAACCTACTTATTCTTGAAAAACAGTGATCCAAACATTGAGCCCTGTGGAACACCGCTAGCCTTTTTGCCCTTAAAACACTTCCTAAATTCAAGAATGGGGGCATTAAAGAGTCTTATTATATCAAAACAAGCCAATTTACCAGTCATTACCTTTTCTGCTCTAGTTTAAACGAGCTACAGGATGCTGTGGGCCTTGTATTTTGAAAATACTGCGACTTGTCATAGTATTTAATGTCTTAATTCATGACTTTGCAAGGAAAATAAATCAAATTTTTGAACTAAAGTCTCATAAAAAAATTAAGTAACATTTAAGTGCAGTTTCTAGAAGGATCTTCTTTTAAATTTGCAGCTCTATTGGGTGGAATTATCCTTATTTTAACGTTTAAATTGCTTCAATATTAGATTTTGGCAAAGAGGTGAAAGGCATTAAGCGGAAGCAGCCCTGGGGTTGTGGTGGTCTCAGATTTAGAGAGATTTTTAGAAGATAAAAGAGGAAGGGTTCAGAGAGCTGAGAGTAGGCGGCCTGTGGTGGGCTTTGGATTCAAACAGGCAGGCAAACGTCAAGGGGGAAGAGAAACTCAGAGCGCGTTCGCTGGGTTGTGGTGGGACTTGATTTAGTTAAGGTGCAGATTGTTATCCCAGTTCTCCCCTCTCCTCTTCCTCCCCCTCTGCCTCTCACACCCCCTCTCTTCCTCTCCTGTTCCACGAAAGACGGATCTCTCCGCGCTTACAGGGAGAAAAAAGAGAGACCACAGCACCAGCAGCGAACACACACTGTGGTTTAAAGTACATGTTTATCCTTTTATGCCTGTTGTACTTCTTCGTCTCAATTTCATTTCTCTTTTATTCTCTGAGTTCTGTTCAAAATACTGTTTTAAATAATCACAATCAAAATCAGATTTATTTTGTGTGCACAAACAAGGAATTTGACTTAACTTTTCAGGCGCTCACAGCCTACAGAAATTAAATACAAATATATACACTACAGCGAAAATAAAATACTGACAAAGGAACTATTTTTTTAATTTAATTGTTATATTAAAGAAAAAGTGGTATTTTCTCCCGCAACTGTCATTCCTATAGAGAAACTGGTTACTTAAAAAAAATCTCTTTTTACATATTAACAATGAAATACTTTTTTCTTTATCTACTTTAGAACTGATTTAATGAAGATTTTTTGTACAGCTTATAAAGACTGTGAAGCTCTTTCTGGCTTTAAACAAACCAATTATACAAAATCAATTAAAATAAATGGCACCGTTTGTTTAAAATATATTTTTGAATAATTTAAGACACAAAACATTTTATGAGCTCAGAAAATGTTATAAAACTATGCTGTTACTGAACATAAGAAATTCAAATGTTATAGATGCTCTGTATTAATCTAATAGATGAGCGTGTCAAAGCTTTTTTTTTGCGCCAGGGTCAAAATTGACAAATTTAAACTTCCACAAAATTCATGAAATTAAAAATGCTAAATTGGTTTATTGTAGTTTTTTTGTTTGTTTGTTTTATCTACTCAACAATAAACAAAAAAAATATATAAAAACCTGTAAATAATTAAAGATCCAAAACATAAAAAGGACTTCGGACTGTTACCTTCTTAAGATAAAAACATAATTTCCAATTTTTAGGGGGTCATCAATTGTTTTTTATCTCGTTAATATTTCAAGGACCACACATGGCCCATGGACCACACTTTGAACAGCCCTCTGCTAGACATTATTTATAAGAATTTTATCCTTAAATTCTTATAAATATGTCTAATTTTATTTTAAATGGGCCTCAACCTTATTACAAAAATAAATAATGCTATGTTTAATAGGTAAAGAAGTTGTTTTGCTAGTTTGTTGAGTTTTTCATAATTTTTCTTTTATCACGGTCGACCTCAGACTGCAGTGATTTTGGTTTGGGCCCGTTTTCTCACCTTATCTTCGTGTTTTATTTTAAAATGATCTGTATGTCTCTCGTTTGGTAAAATCACAAATGAATTAGCCACATTTCCATGTGTTTGTTTATATATAAAACTCATGAAAAGCTGGGTTTGCTAATAAATATTTAATGTTTATAGTATCTCATTAACACATTATGTTGCTAAAAAAAATCACATCTCAGTTTCACTAAGTGTTTTCCTGAGTGAAACAGAGACTGTAATGGCCGCTGCTGCTCCCTGTCTGAGTCATGTGACTTACTCTGGGCGCCGTCCTTACATATTCCCAGTCAAATATCCGTCTGGGGGTGAAAACTGCTCATATAGCAGCTGAAACATTAGTCCTCCAAAATTTAAATTTGGACATTAAGACACATTTCAGCATGTAATATCAGTGCGGCGGCTACATGCTAGCATTAGCCACTTCGAAAAACATGAAAACAGCATAAAAACGTCGTCATCATGAAAAAATGAGAGTTTATTGAAAACTACGGCTTGTTTTTGTCAAGTAAGAAATACATTTACATCTATTTAATGGAGCTTTGCACGTTTTGAAGCGACTTTTTGTTACGGTACTGTAAGAGCTTTCTTGGCTAAGCTAACCTGCTGCTGCAGGCCGTGCTAACGAAACTATGGTCGCAGTAACGCTTTAATTTAAACCGTCTTAAAATGATGAGATATGTGTTAATTTAAGACTGCTGAGATTTTGAGTATATAAAGCCAAGTTCAAAATAATTCATACCTCTGGTAGATTTAGATTTAAAGTGATTCTCATTCAACCGGTAATTATGTTTCTTACTGTAAATACCTTTATAAAATATTATAAATCGGCATAAAAGGAAAAATCTAGAATTTTAAAAATAATATTTTATCTGATTTATTTAGATTTTAAAACATGATTTGTCTTAAATTATTTAAACTATTCTAAGTTGTCAATGAAAAAGCTCTGCATGCATTGCGGCTTCATTGCTGTCTGTTTGTTTAGATGTTTCCAGTATTATTTTGTGCATTTATCTTTGGTCATCAGGATCTTTGAGGATGGAGGGCCTCCTTGCCATCACCCTAATCTTTCGCTCCTTTAACAGGTTCTCCGTTAGACTGAAGCGTGGATCTTGACTGCGCCACTCCGAAGCGCAATGTGACTTGCATTCAGAAGAAACAAGGTGGTAAAATAAAAAATAATACATTAAATAATAAGAAGAATAATTTTGGGCTCAACTGCACATAACATTATTAATTTAGTGTTGTATTAGACTCGAGTAATTGGCAAATGCATAATCATAGGTGACTTGGATCACTATCAGAACTATGTCAAATACATTTATGTGTATTTATGATAGCAATACTATCCATATGTCTCTATAATAAACTTTGAATGCCTAAAAAGCAGAAAGTATCATGAGTCACATAGGTTTGGACTGAGAAAGGTAAAATGATTCAGTATTTGTTACAGCTGATCTCTAAGAGTGTGATATGTGAATGTGGAGTGCAGTGACACAGATGATGAGCAGACGTTCAAAGTCTTTGCACCTGTGGAAGTTTAACCCAGAAACCACCATGATTGTATCTGTAGCAGGATGAAGCTTCAGATCCACTGATGAAGAGGAGGGAAGGGCACCAAACAGGGCGGAAAGGTAAAAGAAAGTTATAAACACAGGACAGACGGAGGTTCAGTCTTTACTGAGGGAGTTCTGTGAACGTTTGTTGGTTTTGTTCTTTTTTTTAATCGCCTCTTTCTTGTATTTGAGGAAATTTGAGGCAAACTGCCTTTTTTATTCTCTGACAATGACAGAAAAGAGAAAATATTCTCATTACTTGCTGTCCAGTCTGGTTAAACAGGCGAATTTCACTTCATATTTTCAAATATTAAATTAGTTTTCCTGAATAGCGCCTTCAGTTTTACGCCATATGGAGTTTTTTGAATACGTAGTTGTTACATATTATGAAAATACATTTAGACAGCTGGAGATATTTAAGAAAATTAAGTATAAGAGGTAAATGTTACAGTGGAGTGAGGTTATAAATTTTTTTACTACTGTAACTTATTGTACACAAACTGATTGTTTATCTTAACAATTTTTGTGCCTATTGTATCGTATCACTTTACGTATAATTAAAAAAAACTTTGAAGATCCTTATTTCTTTATATATATATATATATATATATGGATTTTAACTTTATAATTTGCAAATTGCACATAATTTAAACATAGAGCATCAGTAGCGCTCATCGTAGCGGTCAGTTGTCCTGTACCTACAGAACAATAAATTTTATATATAATGTCTTTTAAAAAATAGACAGAAATGGATTTACTAAAAAAAACAAACTTTGAAATATAAACTTTTACGTTTTAAATTACTTTCACCGTAATTACATATTTCTCAGTTTGTTTTCCTTTTAACACTTGACACTTTGTTTTTATGTTCAGTTTGATCAAATATGCAGAGAATAAACAGTGCGTCAGTGAATAAACATGGCATTTATATCCTGTGATTTACAAATAAAATAGAAAATGTCTGCTGTTGAGGCCTCGGTGGGGCTGCGGGGCAAATGACTTGAAATCATTGTAAATTCATTGTTCAAAAAAGGTGTCACTGTTTAACAAAGATGTTAAGAGCAATTTATGTGTTTTAAAAATAAATGTAACTGTGTAAATATCTAAATTTAGGGAAAGTTTATACTTACAGCCCTTTTCAAGTGTCAAGCTCAGTGTGATCCGTTGTAGACGGTGATCCGGAGTCAGGCGGAAATGCTTTGTATTTATCTAGCGAGTTGTGTTTTTAAGAACCGTTGCACCTCCCACAGCAGCGATTGGTCTGAAAGAAAGACACACAGTTGTTAATTAAAGCCGGAATCAGAATAATGACCTCTGATTGGTTGTTACTGAGAAAAAAAGAGACACATCTGCATGAAAATTACAGGTTTTTTTAGCCTAAAACTGTTTCCATCTATTTGTGACAAGAATTTCCAGGATGAATTATAGCTTAGAAACACAAAACTCATCTTTTGGGTCGTGTAAAGATACTGTTTTAAATCAATAAGATATTTTTTTTACAATTTCTGTCCAGAATATTTCATAAAAAGCCTATTGGTCTAATAAATATCTAATGAACACATTTTAAACAAATAACAATATTTTATGCAATATGTTTTGCAATTTGTTTTCATTTCCGTACAAAATATCCAAACTCGGCCTTCACAGTGCGGGTAGATTAAAAAAGGAACCATCCCTGAAAACTAAGCCACCCACAAACAAAGATATATATAATTACACAAGAACTATTAGAGAAAGAAACATTTTTTCTCGGTTTTATAATTTTTTTCTCTCTTTCTGCAGGTGTAGAAGCAGACTTCTCGGATCTTATCTTCTATTTTTTCACAGCCAGACAAGACATGTTGAACAAAATAAATAACTACAGCTTGAGAACAGTTAATTGTATTTAGAATAACCTACATAATTTAATATGTAGTAAAAATTAACCAGTTCCATCTCAGAAGTTTACGACCGACCTCGGCGCCTGTTTACAAACAACCCGTCAAATCACGAGATCAGAATTTATCACGGCTTTTTTAGTGTTTAATGCTCTTTTTAAAGGTTTTTAGTGGCCTTTATTTAGCAGCAGGTAGACAAGAGGAAGGGCAAACAGAGAGAAGTGGAAAACATGCAGAAAACGGCCCAGGGCCGGGAAGCGAACTGGGGCCAACCGCGTGGAGGACAGGAGCCTCCGTTGAAGCGCTGGCTCTCTCTCTGATCCATATGGGGCTCAGTCTTCCATGTTTTTAGGTTGAACATTTTTAATGCCTGAATCGGCTCACCAGTGTAACAAGTCCAAAGCTTCTTAGCACCACAACAAATCGATGTCGAAACGAGGAACGAGAGCTGGAACGGAGGTTTCTTTGGATTTAGAGGACGCAGAATGTCCACGTCTTTTTGTGCATTTAAAAACTCAAATATCGGAAATCTGCATTACCACACAAACTGAAAGAATCCCAAAAAGAAACTTTAGCAAGGTCCAAACACTGAACGTCCATGGACATAGGACTGTTTCAGGTCAAGTTTGTCTTTTTAACCCAATTAACCTAGTTAGTCCAAAATAAATAAAGCAGAACTTTGTTAGTCCATTTGCTCAACTTTAGCGTGCTTAGACACATTTTGTCTTTGTTTAGACAGAAAACAATAGTTTGTGTGTTTCTGCCATTTCTCATTGTTGAATCTGCAGCTTTGAGGGAAGTGTTAAAAATTCAACACTCTGTTGTCTTCATCAAAATGTAAATAATTTTATTGTAATTTGGACTAGTAATTAAAAAGTCTTCACATGAAACATCATTCGCTTCTGTGTCGAACGTTAATCTAGATAAGGACTGAAACTTGTCTGTGAATCTGGTTTTTGAAAACTCGTCAGTCAGTCTGCCGCCGTCAATAACGTGGCCCTGATAACTGGTGAGAAATGACCATTTAAATAACTTATATCACCTCCATCAAGATGGACTTTAATAATCTCAGCACAGTTGATGCCTGTGGCTGCATTGGTCTTGTAATCGTGTTTTATTCCTGCCCACTGGAAGCTTGTTGTTGGCAGTTTTACTACAACATTAACCTTTTTCAGTATTTTCTGCAAATCTAAACCTTCAGATGGCCATAGTTTTTATTTACAGCTAGGATATTGTTCCTTTTCTGCTCTCTCTGGCTTTCACTAAGAATGAACTGGAGAAATTAAACATTTCACTTTGCGATCAGTGGTGGCTGTTTGTTTCTGAAGGTATTACAATTATGGACTAATAATTCAAAGTTTATCTTTAGAACCAAGTTTTATTTTTAGTCTCCGGCTTTTCATATCAAGTCGTTCCATTGCTTCTTTCCTCAACGAATACATTAAAAAGGGAAGAAAGATAGTATGATTTTTGTTTTATGCCTTCATGAGCAAATTTAACCTCTGATTAAATGATGATTAAAATGAGCCGTGGGTATGTTCCGGGAACACATAAGTCTATTAGTGGAAAGTTTCACCATTTTTACATATGAAAAAAATAATCATTTGGAAACAGTTTATCAAAGCCCAACTTTGGCATTTAAAAACAAAATTAAACAACCAAACAAATTCTTAGCTTTTGTAGAGACTTGTGTTTTTTATTGCAAAAATCTATATTCACTTTATTTGTTTCTGAAATATAAAGTAAAAATCTGCTGCATAAAATCAACTACTTTCTATATGAGAAACTATTGGAGGACTGAAGTTAAAGATCTGCTCACAATGATCAGTTTTAACATTCAGGAGATGCTGCGTCCAAAACTGTTGCCTTTCTTCTCAACAACACAAACGCGATCTGATTCACTCTTTTTTCAAAAACTCTGTTTTCAGCTAAACTTAATGAATGGGGACCCAAGTCCTAAAAGTCACTGGATGTTTGTGGTCCAGCTAGCTTTGAAATTAAAATGAACATGAAAACATTTGGTTAAAAAAGGTTAACAAAGAACATTTTCCATTTTCAGCATCATGTCTGAAAAGCGTCTCGCTAAAAATTAAACTATGTCCATCTGAATCCAGCGCAGAATTTATGTCTTTGCTCAGTTTCGTCTAAGTTCAACCTCATGCAGACAAGAGAGAGACACCAGAACCAGCCAGATTCGTTTGACCAGGCAGGTCAAATACTGAAAAATCAGATTCTCTAAAGTCATTGGATGCATTGAAAGAAGACTTCCCATTATTTTTGAATTTGAAACACATCAATCAACACATACTTTTTCTAAATTAATTAAATAAAGATCGGATAAAGGTTATGAGCAATGTGCTTTGATGAAGCGGTGCTCAAGTCCAGTCGTCAAGCGCTACTGTCCTGTAACGTTTAGATACATCCTTCTCTAACGCGCCTGAATCAAATGAGCGGTTCAATACAGAGCTGAATGATGATGATGATGATGAAATTCAGTCATTTGATTCAAGAGTTTTGGTGAAGTAAAAGTTGCAAGAGGATAACAATTGTAGAAGAAATATTTTCGATGGAGAAAATTGGAAAATTACATTTTATAAGACTTTAAATGCAGAATAAGGACTGGAATAATAATTGATGAATATACTTAGTCTGCTAAATTGTCAAAACATTACAGTCTCAATAGGCAGCTCGTTTTCAGTTTTTAATTTGTCTTTTCGTTGAAAAACACACTAATAAAGATCTAAGTGACCAAAAAAAGTTGCAAGAGAGCAGCTAGAGGACTGGACTTGTGCAGCCCTGCTTTGATGCATTAACTAGAATATTCTTTATCTTTTATATGTTACGGCCTTTTACATCAAAAACCAATCGGTATCAGACAAAGAGGCCAGATCGGTGCATTTCTAAAGCGCTGAGAGGATTTTTATAAATACGTTTCTGTTTGAGACATGACTTTTGTTCATGGTTTTGGTTGGTCTGTGTGCAAATCACCTGTTAAAACTTTAGTTTCTCAAATATAAGTGAAGCTGCACACAGACATTTGTCCTTTTCTTTATATTATTTCCCAAGCTAAATGCTTCAAATCTGCTTAGATACACAAAAAACCTGATTTGTAAAAGGAGAAACATTTTAAAAAATAGATACAGTCCAGCACATTTCACACGGTTAATCGTGTTATAGAGTAAATTTTCACCTAAGCAGCAACAGTTATCAGATCAGTGGGGCCGGTGCTTCAGAAACACACTGCTGAGGTGGTTTGGAGACAGGAACCACAACAAGGACAAAACAAACATCTCATACACGTCTCATGTGTCTCTCTGAGGTTTCTGTGCTTGCCTCTGTACTGCCTTCATGAAGGCTTCACACCTGCTTCTGTTCCCTCTGAGCTCGTAAATGAAACGGGCCTGTCGCTTCCTCTGCACGACGAGACCTGCAGGTTAGAAACACGTCTCCTGTAAATAATAAACCGACCTTAAAGAGAGCCTGGGTACAAATTTGTTTAAAAACACTGGGGGAAAAGCGTGGCGTTCCTCTCTGTCGATTCATGATTTTAACGGAAAACACCTGAAAGTGAGGACTCCCTCGTTAGTCACTCACCTAACGAGGGTGTGCGTATCACAACGTGTCATTACCGAAAGAAAGAAAGACCCAGTGTGGGACACGATCAAAAAACAAGGAATGATTCACATTTTTCACTCTGCTCATCCCCCGGGTTCTCCTTCTGAGGGTTTCCCTCAGCGATCGATCTCAGGTTTTCTTCTGTTATTTTGCATTCAGAATAACCATTTTGGGTTAAAGCTAATTTAAACAAATAAACAGCCGGTGGATGCTGTGAGGCCCAGTGGAAAAGAGCGAAATGTTTCATTCTCTGCAACACTTCAGATGTGTCAATGCACAAAATGTCAGTGGAAAAGAGAATGAAAAACAAGTGACATTCTGCTCAGAGACTGAAAACATTTTTGTCTTTTAGCTGATGGAGGGGAACTTCATTCAAGCTTGTTTGAAACCTCAACATTGTGAAACAGGGGATGAGGACAGAAAAGTTTACGGTCTCTCCCACTCATTTCTTCTTCATCTGTGATGTTATTTTTGGTTAGTAGGCTGCTCTGTGATCACTTCGTCAGAATGGAAATACAGGCTCCTTGTTTTTGACAGAGTAGTTTATAACACAAACAGGATTACAATAAATCAGAGTACAGTATCAAGCAGATGTTCAATGTTTCTTGTTCAAAAAGTGTAATGTGAATTTGTATTTAGCTTCCCTTAGCCAAAACTTTCAGACTCAAGCTCCTTGTTGTTCTTCATAAAATAGCTAATTCTCAGTCAGATATTTAGGGGATCTTCTTTTAACATGAAGTATTTCCTACAGATTCTCACTTAATTTTTTTTTCTGAACTTTGACTGAGCCACTATACCATCTAAATTAAATCGTTCCATAGTATCTCTGCTGTATGTTTATGGTTGTTGTTGTTCTACTGGAACCTGAACCTTCGCTTCTAGCTTAAATGTTTGGCAGCCTCTAACATGTTTTCCTATATTATTGTCCTGTGTTTAGCGTCACCCATCTTCCATCAACTCTAAATAGCTTCCCTTGGCCTACTGAAAGAAAGTATTCCCACAGCATGATCCTGTCACCACTATGTTTCTAAATGGAGATGGTATTTTCAAGGTGATGAGTACAGCTATGTTATGTTTTGTGCTTAAGATATGACATTTTAAACTCATTTAAATGAGTCTAGAGCATGTTCTTCCACATGTTTGCTCTGTCCCTAAACTACAAACAGATTATGCTTCCATGAATTGGTTAGGATAGGTCTGTAGCGTTTTAAAGCTCGTCTTAAAACCCATCTATTTTACTTGGCTTTCAACTCCAGCGGGATCTAGTTTTAAATTGTATGTTTGTTTGTTTGTTTGTTTATAAACTGTAAGAGTTTCTATTTTATTATTATTATTATTTATTGTTATGTTGTGTTTTAATGTACAGCACTTTGTATCAGCTGTGGTTGTTTTAAAGTGCTTTATAAATAAAGTTGGTATGGTATGGTATGGTATAAGCTATGCAAAACATTTTCATTCCATTTTTTTTTCTTCAATAATGAGATTTTAGTCTAGCGTAGCCAGTTTTTAATATTTTGGGTTCCTTTCAGAATGAGCTGTTTTAAGGTCTCTTGTCACTTTAAATCCAAATAAGCTGCTCCTGGCCACGCCCCCAACTCAACGTTTACATTGGCCGTGAAAATGGCTGCAAACAGATGCGCAATCAATTATACAACCATCTTTAAACATTACACAAACATCTTTTCTGAATGGTAAGACAACAGCAAAACACTTGTCTTTTCCAGCAGAAATTTTACAGCGCAAATAGCGGTAAAACCTGCTGAGAAAAACTCCTGGACCTGGCTGGGGTTGCTAGCCGAGCTCAGCTAGCAACCCCAGCTGGGGTCGGCTGTGGTTGCTAGGTAACGGCTCCGTGCCCTTTGATTGTTACTGAACAAACGGTAGCTTTTTTTAAACGGCTAATTTTAAAACGTAAACTTATTGGTTAAAACAAAACAACAACAACAAAAAACATTTAATAAAATGTAAATAAATTTTATGTAAGCGCTTATATAAACCACCCTGGTTTTTATAAGTGCTTCGAATGTTTTTAGAAGCAGCTAAGACATAAAAGAGAATTTTGAGAAAATGTGAATTTTCCTAATTGATCATTTTAAAGACTTAGATCTCTGCAGCTACTGTCAGGTTACTGTAATATGGACCTAATAATAGATTTGGATGTGCGCCATGCTGTTTACGTGTTCAGATGATAGAGTGAAAAGCAATCCCTGAGATGCTAAAAGCTTAGCTAACCTAGCCTGGCATTAAACGTCTCTAAACGT